TTTTATGACAACTTATACACTCACCTTCATATATACCATTTCCTTTTTCTTGACCTTGAATAAATTGCCTCCATACAACTGTAAATTAATTGTCTGCCACAATTAGTAGAATTGCTTAGTTCTTTTCTTGGTCTCTTGTTCATTATAAAAAAATTGTTACACAAAAGTTATCTATATATGCAGTATTACAGAATTGCAGAATTGCAGAATTACAGAATTACAGATACATTTACATATTACAGAGAATTACAGATTTTGGCACTTGGTTGCAAATAGTATGACAACTCGGTTGCTAGATACAACTTCTGTAAATCTGATTTACAGACAGCATCATTAGTCTGAATCTGTACCTTCTGTGGTTTCTTGCTTATCCTCTATATCCTTTTCCCAGTTGTTTTCTGTTGGAACTTTCTCTAGAATTATTTTACTATCTTCTCCTCTGGAAGTATAACTAGTTTCACTGGAATTAATAAAATACAGGTTGCTCACTATTATCTTCCTCTAAAGTTATTAAATCCTCTTCTACTGCTTGATTTGCAGTTTCTTCTTCTGACATACAATCCACATCAGTTTCTGAAGATTAAATTGAATAAGCTCAGAATCTGTTACTTCTGATGGCTCCAAATTGGTATCTTCAAACAATTTATAATCTCCTATTTGGGTCTGATACTCTTCCACTGGATACTCTGTGTTGACTTATATACGTCTTTTATTTCTGCCCTATAATTAGGTTGGTGACCACAATACTCAATTCCAAGTAGTGTGAAGACTATCCTGAAGATTGTGGTCCTGTTGTTGTCACCAAAAATGTGAGATCAAAATCTGCATCTTGCACAAATCTCTTGATTTGGTTAAAATAATATTTATTCCATTTTATGGCAGTATCCAATTATTTAATTCTTAATTACTTTCTCTCACTAATAGTGCTCAAGCTATTTATTTATTTACAGGGCAAGTTTCCTTACTTCCCTTCTGGTAACGTTTCCTCAGCAGTCCTTTGTTATCTGCCTGAGCTGGCACGTCTCAATGATATTTATAATATCCCAAGTATTCACTGTGATTATACATGCAGCCCAAATTGATTTGGTGATTTTGATGGTCAAAATTATTCCAATTTTGATGGTAGAAAGTAGAAATTAATTACAGCATTCACTATTAAAAACATAAGTGTAACACCCCTTTACTACATGTGTAACCCCTTTATGATAATGTCAAAATACTTTGGTCTGCATGTATAGCTGTGATACTTATACACTTATTATTATATTTATGGCTCATTCTCTTAACTGACTGCACCTAGCTAGGATTTCCACTAAACTTAGGCATTGGCCTAATCTAAATAAAAATAAAGAAAATACAACACAACTATACTTATCAAAGGCATCCCCTTGGTAAGATACAATTAATTAAGTAATTGAGTTAGAGTGAAAAGTTTATGTGGTTTTGGAAGCAGGTGGATAATTCCACTTGCAAGAGATTATTTTAAGAGATATTTATGTTTATATTTTATTATTAAGATATTATTGTTATTACAAGATAATAGTTATATTTTACTAACTGATTATTACATGAAAAGAGAAATTTACAATGTATTTATACATGTTAAAGTTTCTATCATCTAGGTCTCTGATTTCTTTATTTGGTAATCCATTACACTTTAGAATGTTGGAATATTTTCCAACATTTGGGTTATTTTCGAGCTATTTATTTCATTGGTGCACCTTATTAATTAGTGTAACATTTATTAAATTATACCGGTTTATTTCTTGTTGAGTTATTCTGTGATAATCGTTTCCAAATTTTCACTTCGTAATACATGTAAATCATTTCCGATTTATATGTTAGTTTCCCGTGATCTACAATTTACTATTTTACAATATCACATTATTTGAATCATATTGTAAAAAAAGCAAATTTATATCAACTTTGGTCCTGAATTCTTAATATTGGATAAACTATAAAAATTATCAGATTTAAATTAAAATTTAAGATAGGAAGTGGACAAATTCCTCATGAGCATAGTAAAGTACATGTTTTAAAAAAGAATAGAACTCTACAACAAATAATTTTTTT